GAAGTCCTGCTGCGTCTGCTTAAACAAGAATCAAAGTCTGCGCTGTCAGAGATATTAATTTCAATTTGCAGCAGCAGAAGCCAAATTCCAATTCCAAAATCCCTACGATTTCCCAAGCTGTCGCAGGGGGGGGGGAGGGGGGGGGGGGCGTGCGATGACGTTGGCAAAAAACAAAGCAAATGACGAGGCTGTAAGAAGAAGCAGCAGCAGAGGCAGAGGCAGAGGCAGCAGCAACAACAACAGCAACAAAAAGGCCATAAAAACATGTGTAACTAGACGGCTTACAAGGATCACGCACTCGGTGACACTTAATGCGCACAGGCCCTCCGCAGACCCCGCCTACCCCTGCCCACCGCCTCCGCCTCCGCCACGGAGGACGTCAACGATACGCGCAGCAGCAAAGCAAATGTCACACACACACACACACACATTAAGAGAGGGAGAGAGAGAGACAGAGAGAGAGAGAGAGGGGGAGAGACAGACAAACGCAATTAGCTTTTAGCCATCATAACATTATGAACGGCAGCACTGACAGACGACTGCGGCCGCGACGCCAACTGCGACGCCGACTGCGACTGCGACTGCTAACTGCTAATGATGAAGCGAAGCACGAACAGAAGGTTGTGGGGGGTTGGGCTTGGGCTGGCATAGAGACGTAGATGTTAGATGAATGAAGTGAATGTCAACTGAAGCCTCAAGTCCCCCCCCCTAGGCTGGATTTGTGGCAGCACTGTAGCTGGGGCGGGCTGCAGGGGCCAGGGGCCAGGGGCCGCATTATATGTTGATGTGCAGAAAGCAGAGCTCACGGCGCTGCCAACAATGCCGTTAACTTGTGTTGAGATTAAAATAAGGACACACACTCTCGACGTGGCAGGGCGCAAAGGGCAGGCTGCCGCCGATGGGCGTGCTGCAAGGACATGCCCTACGTGCCACACGCGGCGTCGAGCTGTTCGAGTTGCAAGCTCTCGACTCGCATGAGTTGCAAGCTTGCCTAGCTTGCTTTGTTTATCATGTCAATTGGAGCTTGAGCAGCACCGAGGGGTGGGGGAATGATGGCAGCACGCTCTCACCAACTGACTGTGAATAGTGCGGGGCGTATCGGGGCGGGGGGTGAGGGCTTAGCTGGGCAGCCTGGGCTGGCCAAAAAATGACTGCGTAAATGATGATATGAGATTTTGGGGGGCGGCAATTTTTGCGGTGTCATTTGGCTGCGCCGGAAACGGATATATGCGCAGGACTAGGGCAAAAGCTGCTGCTGCTCGTGTTGGAAAAGGGGGGGGTTTAGGGATAGGGGGGTGGTTAAGGGAGGACGGGTGGGGGTGGGATTGCTGCAACTGTCAAAAGGCGGAAGCGGAAGGAAGTTATTTAACACATAACCACATGCACGCACGCACACACACACACACACACGCTCACACACACACACACACTCAAACACACACAGCTCTAGAGAGACAGCGCACACACGCTGCGTGGCAAGGGCATAGCCTGACTTAGGGCACGGCTGTCAGAGGCTAGTGGCAAGCGGGGTGCAGGGGGCGTGGCATAATGCTTGTAGTCAGGGCTGCAAGTGGAGATTATGTGGCACGATAATCATATTACGATTATGTCGCGTAAAATTTGCGCCACTCGCAGCGGCAGTTTAACTGAAGTAACTCCGCAAGTTGAACAAACAGACAGACAGACAGACGAGCGTGGGGGGGGGGGGGGGGGTCGGTCTGAGAAGGGGTCGGGAACTAAGAGGGACAGACAGTAAAACATCAAATAATATACTCCGCGGAGCAAGGGTTATACGTGCCGCAGCAACAGCAGGCAGAGGGCACAACGTTGACTTTTGCCCAGCTAAACAAATTCATTAAAATGATATTTTTACGTTTTCACGTTGGGTAGCTCGACGCTTGGCTTGTTGGGGTTACGAGGGAGGTAAAGGGGGGGGATGTGCTGGAAATGGCTTCATAATAATGCTCGTTTATTTATTAGCGAGTTCTTGTGGCAGCACATGAAAACCAAATGCGAAGCGAGCGTTGGCAAATAACTTTTAGGGTATGCCAAGCCATACGAATAGCTACAGCTAGAGCTAAGTAAGGGTATGCCAGGCTGAGATATGATAAAAGAGCATATGAAGCTTCAACTAAGTTAAAGTATGCCACCTTAAGGGTATATCAAGCCAACAGACACCTCAACAGCTTAGTTAGGGTATGCCAAAGTGAGGGTATGCCAAACTATAAGAACAGATACAGCTGCAGCTAAGTTAGGGCATGCCAAGTCTTGTCTCTTAGTTAGGGTATAATATAAGAGCAGATACAGCCAAGATGGGGCATACCCTATAATCGTATGCCAAGTTATAAGAACAGATAAAAGGAGCAGATCCCATAGGGTATATTAGTATATTGTAAATCAGCATCAACAACCGAGCCAAGTCTGTCTTTATGCTATCGCTTGGCTCTCGACCTTAAGGCTATCAACCGTCTTTCTTTTGCAGTCAATACATCGGTCGCAACCGAACGGATCGGATTACTTTATCATATAGGAGAGATTGATTGAACGGTACGACAAAATATTCTCTTTCCCACGATATTTTGATTAAACTCTGCATTAACGAGCTTCACTAGAGAGGCAAATGTCCGCAAGGGTATTAAATCCTCGGCTTGCTGCAGATATCTTTACTTTCTCGTTCAGCCTAAAATTGAGCTAAATTTCAATTCTTCATTAAAGGTATATATACTGCGCCTTAAATTGTGCCCAACTAGAATAGTGCAATTTGTTGTAACTATCAACAGAAATATATATTTCAACTGTAAAGACTCTTTCCAGCTGATTTTAGCTAATCGCAATGCCGACTGCAAGTATTTGTCACTAGCTCAGTTCGTATGGGCTGCAGCTTAAGCAGAATATGTATCGACACTGCGAGAAACAAGGCATAAGTGTTTGCAATTTGAGCTAAATCATGAAATGAAATTGCAAAACAGTTGCAATAACTGTCGCAATAACTGCTGCTCGGCTTAAGTCAGCACTTGATGGCTGTGGCACATGGTCGGCCCCCTTTTTTTCGCTCAGTGCACGAGGCTTTTGCAGCTGCGAACGTGGCGCTTTTTGCCTTTGAGCAAATTTTGTGCTTTGTGTAATTGTTTAAATGTTATTTCATTGAATGGCGAGAGACACAGCGACAACGACAACGAGGGGGGGGGGGGGGGGGGGGAGGGGGTGGTTAAAGGGGGAGATGAGTGGGTTGTGGTAGTTGGGGTAGTTGATTAAAAGGCTGAAGCTGGAATGGAAAGTGGAATGCAAAAAACGCTGGGAAACGCTTAGCGTTAATGTTCTTCATTTATTGTCATTGTTGTTAATGTTTTTTGTGTGTGTGTGTGTGTGCGTGAGAAAAAAGCATTTGCATTTAAACGGCAGAAGTGTTGGGATAAAGGGGGTAGCATAAGTGAGGGGGGGAGCTGCCTGGTTACGTGGTTAGCGCAGAGATTTTGCTTCAATGATTTTTATTGCTCGTTTGTAGTAAATTTGGTGTGTAATTAGAGTGAGAGAGAGAGAGAGAGAGAGAGGGAGTGAGAGAGAGAGGGAGAGGGAGAGGTTGTGGCTTATTATAAGCAGTATATGTGTGTGTGTGTGTGTGTGTGGGGTTTGGAGCCTGCAGCCTGCGGGTGGCAGGCCATGCGACACAATGAAAACTCAACTGCAAATGGACGACTGGCCCGACTGGTCGAGGGCGTGGCAAGAGGCAGCGACAGCGACAGGGGGGGGGGGGGGGGGGGGGGGACGAGGGAGTGCGAGTTGGGTCGGGAACAAAACCGGAAGGCTTGGGACAGCATAAAGAATGCCAAAATGCCAAATGCCAGGGCCGAAAATGAAATTGTGGTGCAGCGCACAGAGCCAGAGTCGGGACCAGTGCACAGTAGTGGCAAAGGGGAGTAAGTGGTGTGCGGAGAGGGAGGGGGGGGGGGGGGGGTGCATGCAACGCGCCCTGGGGTCAAAAGCCGACCAGATGAGAATGATAAGTAGTGGACGCAGTGCCCTATGATAAGCGGCAGCTGCAGTCGAATGCTTGATGCGGCAAGCGCCTGCTTATACCCTGTAAAACCCATAACAACAGCCTGCGGTTAGCTTGGGCGCAATCAGGCAGTTGAGCTGCAGCCAAATTGCCACAATTACATAACAAATGCAATTTGCGACAGATAAAAGTTCGCGACGTAAGCTAGAGTAGCCCAGAGTCGTGCATAGCCGCGCCGCGCACACACTGCTTGAACTGATAATCTCTTTTTTTGTCTTATAAAACACATTCCCAACTCCACAAAACGTTCGAATCGGAACTTTCTGCTGAAATTAACCAATTTGGCACTTTTCATTCAAATTCCTCGTTAGGCCTGAGTACAGGGTATCTGCCTGTTGGCTACTACTCTTGCTTTGACTTATTACAGGGTATTCTGCAACTAATTCATATTTTATAAAATAGTTAATTAACAATTTAATAAGTTGGCAATGACTTCCAGGGTATCTCAGCGTCTGGCATATCGCATTTCGTGTTGAACTTAAATTTGTTTTATTTGTTGCATTTCGCACAGCTAAAGAAATGTGCTCGTTACACCAAATGCAGCTCCCCCTTTGTGTGTGTGTGCGTGTGTGTGTTAGACTCCGTCTCGGCTCATGACTGAGCGGGAATTGGGGGGCGTGTCAGGTGGGTCAGAGGCTACAGTCGCTGCTGTAGCTGGAGTTGGCCTGTGGTCCTTTCGGTCGTGCTAGCTGCCAATTGCCATGTTTTGGCCAACGTCTGGTGACGCCTCTTAAAGCCGCAATGCGAATGCGACTGCGACTGCGAATGCGAATGCGAATGCAGTTGCTATAAAATTTAATTCGCCCCAGGGAAATGGGCGAGGGGCGACGGGCAAGGGGCAAGGAACAAATGGTGGCTGGGAGCACTACGTGACGCACACAGGACACATAGGATACATAGGCAAACATTTGGAATACTTGTCGGATTCGTAGGGCAACCAGATTCCCAAACTAGATCACACACACACACACACACACACACACAGAGAGAGAGAGAGAGAAAGGATTTGGTTAGATGGCGCTGGACAATGCCAGGCTGGAGTCGCTCGCGGAGGCGTCACAGCTGGCCCGAGCAGCCGGCAGCGAGCAAAGCAGCGAAAGCGAAGACATAAAAGTTCCGTCCAAATCGAAACCAAATAATATCTGCGCCAAGGAGCAGCAGCGGGAACGGGAACGGGAGCGGCAGCGAGGGCAGCCGCTAGAGTACAAATATAGTCCACTTAGTGGCGACTCCGATGTGGACAGCGATGTGGGCGAATCGATGAGCGATGAGTCCATTGCGCTGCTCGCGCACGAGATGCTCTGCTGCGAGCACGAGTCGGACACGGACAGCGGGGAGGATGAGCAGCAGCAGGAGGAGGAGGAGGATAAGGTGACGGAGCAGAGGGAGGATAAGGAGCAGGAAGAGGTGGAGGAGGAGGAGACGGAGGATGAGGCGGAGGCGGAGACGGAGGATGAGGAGAAGGCGAATATCGGTGCCTCCATTGAGCACACATATGCGCTGCTCATGTGCAGCGAGGACGATGAGGATCTGGAGCTGGAGCAGCTACTCGATCGCTGCGACACGGAATCAAAGTAACTGCACGGCTTGCAATTGGGTCAATAAGACAAGTGCTTAAATGTTGGACTTCAATTGGACTCCAAAGAGAATTCGGCATGAAAACCTTGTGTCTCATCAATATCTGTTGGGGCTTCTTCGAAAAACCGAATCTCAGGCGTACTTTGAAGCAAGTTCTCAAAAAGATTTTCCAAAAATTCTTTTAGTTTTTTCTACGTTTTTTTTAAATATTTCCAAATGTTTTGCTCTTTGACATTTTATAAATAAAATAAAAAAATATTTCTGCTTTTGCACTAATGAAAAAAAAAGCGAAATTTGAAAATATGTCAAAAGAACAAATTAAATTTGGAATTTGAATTAAATGGAGAATTGAAGCAAATTGTTTGAATATGACCGAAAGCTGGGCTCATAAATGTCCAGAATGGGCGTGGCAAGCCTTCGAGCCATTCAAATGTTGTGTGTAAAACAAATTTGAATTTTTGTAATTAAATGCGCCAGGAGAATTGACACAAAAATAAACCAGCTTTCAATCTGTTTGAATCGCATTTGCAATCAAATCAAATAAAAGAAAAAATCTTTGAAAAATTTTATATTTTACATGGCCAGAATTTGATTTCAGTTAATTGCAGCCGACTCAAACATGAAACTCAAAAGTCTGGAACTCAGAAATGTTGATTTATTTTACGCACCAAATGTATATCATATGCGCAGCTGATTAAGCGACACGTTTGTTTATTTCGTTGTTGGAAATTGACTCAAAAGCAACTTAATTATGGAAAATGCATGCTGCAAATATTTGGTCAAATCGTGACGAAATTGTAAACAAACACAAAAATCGGCCCAATTGTCGGAATTTAAAATCCAAATGTATGTAACAGGCAGAACGAAGCATCTGCGACCCCATAAAGTATATATATTCTTGATCAGCATCAATAGCCGAGTCGATCTAGCCATGTCCGTCCGCAAGGATCCCAAAACCTATAAGAGCTAGAGACTTAGATGTAGATGCTCCTAGTTCCCGCGCAGATCGATAAAAATCGATATCGATATCCTGTTTTTTGGCCAATTTTGGTAAATAATAAGAGCTAGAGTCACCAAACTTGACATATAGCTTCTAAAATAGAATATATATATGCATTTGATGTTGGAAGAAGAGGGTTCAGGGTATCCCCTAGTCAGGAGCTGCCGACCAGAACCTCTTGTTCATATTGGATTTGTTATACATATATAGGTTTATCAAAAGCTTAACTGAATAATCAGCAGCACTTAATATCAATTTAAAGAAAGGATAAATGTATTGTTCCAAATTGAATAACGTTGCGTATACGTAATATTTTGCTCACCAAGAATTTCGTTGCGTGTTTTTTTAATGAAGTTAATTGAAATGTAGAAGTTATGTTCGATTCACTAGAAATGTATTGAAGAGCAGACAAAAAACAAAACAGTTTTGAGTAAAAGAACTTGTGAAGACTTCAATGGAAGAGTTCGAATGAAACGTACAGAATAATCAGAAACGGTTCAATATTAATATCAGCAGACGAATTAAATGCAGAAAACATTTCTGAAAATATTTTTATTGAAAACTATTTGTGTTCATCATATTTTTCTAAAGATATTTGAATATAGAAAATATGTGCAGCTTTACAGTTCGTGAATATTGTTGTAAAGCAGTAAAAATGAACTTAGAGAAGAGAAATTTGAAGGAAAAAGTTCGATGGAAGAGTTTTGATAAAATGTACACAAAAATCAAAGTTGGTTTTTTGTGTCGCGTTCTGATAATTAATTTTGAATCGAATGCAGTATTTATTGCATTTCTAAAGAATTTTTAACCTCAACGGATACGTAATATTTTTGTGGAGAAATTTTCCCAGAATTTATTAAGGTACGACATCTCGAATTTTGAGAAAAGTTCTAACGATATATTTGACAGTCAAAATTATTGTGAAATAGCAAAAATACTCAAATTAATGCCGGCGAATAAAATTCGGATAATTCAAAAAGAATTCGCAAAAAATAGTTTTCTTGCCAAGTCCATCAAGGGCCAGATATTTTACTACAAAAAAGTCAAAGAAACTTTTACCTTTTGGAAATCCCATATTTTGTGAAAGTTCAAACCCTGACTAAGCAGAACAGTCAAAGAGGCTTTGAGAAAATTGTGGAAACTTGAATTCTTAGCAGCTATTTTGGTTTTCGAGAGCTTTACAATTTGCAATTAATGCCAAATGTCAATCGGAATCGCGTGTGGCAAAGCATAATATGCAAATTTTAATAATGGCAGCCAGTTCCGAGAAACCGAAAAGGTTTTTCAGCATTCGAAGCCAGTTTTCTTCCACAAAGTTGTATAATGTGGCGTATACGTTATATTTGACAAAAGCGAAAATCGCTTTAAGTGCAAAAATTGGCAGCAGAAATCGACGAGAATGCAAGGACTTAGGATGAAAAAGTTGTGAAAACTAATTCACATTTTTTTTTAATTTCGAAAAGCAGAATCAACAAGAAGTTCAAATCAAGACCAAGCATCAAAAGAACGGTCCAGAACTTATGTCTTAGGGCGAGTTTTGTGAAGATGTTTTCACATAAAAGCAAATGTCGTTTGTCGGCCAGAGAGAAATCATTTCAAACTGGAATTGAATGAAATTCTAGAATTTGAAAATCCAGAGAAAAGGCTTTTCAAAATACGTAAAATATGTAATATTTTGCTGGCAAAGAAGTCGAGAGATTGAAGATTTTATAAATTCATTAAAAATAATCGATGTCAGCGAATGTTTTTTTATTTTCCATCTTAAGTCACGGGGCGTATGCGTCATATTTTTTGTTTACATACAAAAAAGGCAAGACATTTTATTTAATTAATTTCCCAGAATATATTACGTATACGTAATATTTATATTCTTAAAAAAAAAAATTTAAAAAACAAAAGAAATTCAATTTCATAAATTGCATCAATTTGACAGAATCTATTATATTATCCATGCAAGAATCTAGCACGTAAGTTCATTATATACGTAATATTATTTTCTCAATGTTTGAGCATTTCTTACAAAATGCCAAGAAATTCAACTGGAAAAATCCATTTGCATAGTTTTGCAAGAATTTATTCTATTTTCGTTAGGGCCAGCGAATATTTCAATACGTCTTATTGTTGACTTTCAGAAAGGAACAATATTTTATTATAGAGAAAGAAAATAAATTAGATTTCACAATTCATTCTTTTCCTTATTAAATCACAGGTCAAATACTTATAAGAAATTACACAATTTATTCCAGCGTGCTTTTTTCGCCATAAGATCGGGGCGGATGCGTTATATTGTGCTTACATAAAGAAAGAAATTCGAGGAAATGGAATTTTAGGAAACATCCATTCACTTGCCAGAATCGAATTCAATATTTGTTTTCTTCTTTCCATATCTAAGAACAGGGCGTATACTTTATATTTATTTTCTTCAAAGAAAATAACAAGAAATTTAATTAAAAATAAAAAGAAGAGGTGCATAACATGCAAAATTCTATAATAGCAGCGTATTCAGAGAAACCCGAAAAGGTTTCTTCAATATACAAAAAATGTTTTTCTCTTTTTTTTTGCACCTCAAAATTGAACAATGGGGCGGATACGTTATATTCTTCGGGAGCCAAAATAGCTTTTAATGCGAACTTTGGTAGCATAAATCAAAGAAAATGCAAGGATTCTGCAAGTTCTAGAGATTGTTTCGTTTGCTCGAACGAATTACAGGGCGTATACGCTATGTTTTTTCGAAAAGGAAAACGAAAAGGAAAAAGTGCTCAGAACTTGTTTTCTTTTAAAGCAGACTTTTGACAGAAGTTGAAATAGTTGAAAATATTCAAAAAGAATGCATTCTATATTCATTTGCCAATTCACGCGGCGGATACGTAATATTTTGTTATTGTCTAAAACTAAAGCCAAGGCTCGTTTTATTTGATCTTGAAAACGGAATGAAATCTTTTGCAACCAAACTGAATGTTGCTGGCCAAACATTAAATCACATGGCGTATACGTTATAATTTGCTCGGAATATTGAGAAAGAAAACAAATGCCATAAGAATTTCATTTAAGACTTGCTATATAAATTATTTAAGACTTGGCTGCCCAAAGCGAGTTGCATTCAAATCCTGATCAAAATGTCAACAAACATGAAAATCGTTTTGAGCGCCGACCAAAAGACAGACAGACAGACAGACTAAGCAGCAGCCAGTTAGAAACTGTGTTCACTCGGGGGGCTCGTTTAAATCTCAGTTAAATTTCGATTGGCCAAGCACAAACAAACACACACACACATCGAGCGAGAAATGGGGGGGGACCTGAAGTGGACTCGTTTTATGGTCTAGAAGCCAGACAGATAGACGGAGCCAACTTTGTGGCCTACTCATTGGTGCTCAAAGCCAAGCTGAAGTTGAGCTGAAGTTCAGTTGAGTTGAGTTGAGTTGAGTTGAGTTCAGCTCGAGTGGGGCAACTCGATGCGGCACTTAAACTTGGCGGCAACTGCGACTCTGCAACCACTTAAAACCGTAGCGAGCCACACACTTTCCGTTGCCGGCATGTCAGCTTGTCAGCTTGTCAGCCGGAATTTGCACTCACCTGTGCGCCGCATTGGACGCTCGCGGCTGCTTGCAACTGGTTGCAACTTGGGGCTGGGTGTTTTGATGGCGAGCGAGGGTTGGGTAGCGGCTGCTTGGCGGTGTGTGGCACGCACACACACACACACACACGCACACGCACACGCACACGCACTGTCCAACAAAACTGCAGCACTTTTTTACACTTTCATCATTTCATTTGCCTCTATTTCAATGCGTTTTTCTTTTGATATTCTGCTAATTACGCAGACAACGAAAACAAAAAATGCTTGTTAATATTTTCATTGCACATGTTGTTGTTGTTGTTGTTGTTGTTGTTGTTGTTGCTGTTGCCAAATGCTGCAACCGACGGCAGCAGCAACTGTTGCCGCCGCCAACGCAGCAGCAATAGCAACAGCAACAGCAACATGCAGCCGCAACAGCCGCCG